AAAAAAAAAAAAAATTGAAGGACAGAGAGAAGGAGATGAGAGGGTTACTCCGGCTGGGATCGAAAGGAAGCGGCGGCGGAGCTGGAGGGTCGTCCCTCGGTGAGGACGGCGGGGGAACGGCGTCGTCCCGGGATGAGGACGGCGGATGGAGGGGAGGGAGCGGCGGAGGCGGGAGAGCGAAAGGGCGTTGGAAATGGAGTTCGCCCATCTGGGGGAGGCGCGTGGAATCGCGATATTACGAATTAAACGGTGGAAAAAATGAGGGGAAGTATATCAAATCGAGAGAAATTGTGAATGTCGGTTGAGTTTTTATGAATTAAGAGTGGTAAAAGTTTGGTTTTGATGATTGGAATCAATGGATACAGTTTTGCTGTATAAAGATAACTTAAGGAGTGATAATGTATTGACACGTGTCCTATAATAAATACAATTTAAACAGCCTGCATAAGCATCATCTGATAACTCCATAAAACTAGTGCATAGCTCGTGTGATGCACGTGATACATATAATAAATCAATTATTTCTATAGGACTTGTACGTCTAGACAAAAAATAATAGGTTGGATCATCCATATTTCACATCTTTTAATAAGTGACGTTTATTTAAGCAAAAAAATTAACATGTTAATTAATATATAATTTTGCTAACACGTCATACTAATATTTATTTGATTTTAGAATACTTTTTTATTCATTAATATAAGAAAAAAAAAATATTTATTCTCGTTCACCATATAATACTCAATTATTATTTTATTATAAAATTTATAGTCATATGATGTCATTATTATTATTTATAAAAGTTATAGAAGTAGTCTTCTTTATGTAATGAAATTCAAAATAAAATTATGAGTATAAATGTTTACAAAATACACACACATGTTTTTTAGAATTCATTTTTCTCACAAAAATTCTTTTTTAAAAAAACAAAAATGATTTAGCAATTGCCAAAAAATAAATCCCTTACATAATCAAGATATTTTTTCTAATTTTCATCCTAAGGCTTTAAAGTTTAGTTAACATACTATGCAATAGAAAAATATTTTACAATAAGTTCATTTTTGAAACATAACAAAGAAAAAGTGATAAAAACACTATCATAGTTGACAATAATATACAAATAAATAACATGTCGAAATTTTAAAGAATAACTAATATAATTTTATTATCTAACCATCAATAAAATCATTTAATGATGTAATCATTATCTTTTAAATGATAAATAATATTAATTTTTTTAAAAAATATTAGTTTTATATAATTAAATAAAGGTTAAAAAATATTACTCGACAAATATTAATTATAATGGATATCAGTAAAATAATTGCATAGATTATTTAAGGAAAAAATATTTAAGATCATATTTGGATAGTAAATGTAAATATGCAAGCATTTAATGCATATAGTAAAGAATTTCCAAATAAAGTTTGCATTAAATGTGTGTTGACTTTTTTTGCTACTATTTTTGGTAAATAGGTTGACTTTTAATATATATATATATATATATATATAGATTTTTGTCAATGAATAATGCAGTACAATATTTTTTTTTCTACTTCAGAATTTATATTTGCATGAATTGATATTGTAATTGTATTAAGTTGAATATTTAATTCAAATTGTAAATTTTTCATCGTCATTTTGTATTTAATATACAACTCGGGTGTTTGTTAAGAAATTATTCTTAAATTTTCAAATTATGAGAATATATATATATATATTATTATATATTATAGAATAACACTTGTTACTTGTGCAACTTACATGTGTTATATTATAGTAATTTTTGTAGCTAATATCATATGACTACTTGAAATAAAAATACATTAAATGACAAAAAATATTTTTTTTTCTAATTAATATTAAAAATAATTTATTATTGTTATAATGATAAATATAATTTTTTTTATACGTACAATATAGATGTTAAAGCGAAGTTCATTAAGAGATGATTAATTTGATATTTTATATATGTAAAACTGATAATTAAATACAAAAGTTATTAACTTTTAAAGTACATTTACAATTCAATGGTTATAATAAGAAATGATATTAAAATGCAATTAACACATGTAACATGATCATAGATAATCAACATATTTATGGATAATCCAGAACAAATTATTTTTGGATTGTAGTAAATTAAAATCTACTCAAATCATGTACCAAAAAAAAAAAAAAAATCTACTCAAAACTAATAACGAATCATGTAATTTTGTCAAATAGGATCACGAAACATGCGAGCCTGCCACTTAGGCCATTATAAACTTCTTATAGAACAACTTGATAATGTAGCTCAGACCAATATATACAAACTTGTCAATTCAACACATTCATGAAAATGTTGTGAAACAAAACACCAGTATAACAATTATGAACACTATTGAAAAGAAGACGAGAGAATACTATCAAATTCCACGTAGCTATACAAATTACAGACGAGATAATACTATCGATCAATATCAATTGAGCTCCTTATAGCTACAAATCATCAATATCCTCCTCTAATACTTTTATTTCACCCCATCCCTCATGGAAAATCAAGAGCAAAATTGGAAATTCAACCCCATTTTTCTTGCACCACACAACTCATACATTTTCAGTGCACAATCTTCCTTAAAATCCCTTAAAGCATCGCAAAACGCGCTATTAGCTCTCACGCTACGCATAAATTCATCCGCGGGACGTGCGAAAAATCGAGAAAGCCGAGTATGGTCATAACCGATCCTCCATCTGCAATCACAATACGAATAGTCTGTTGATCAAAAGGTAGGACGCGAAAGATAGGATAACGGGCACAAGGTATATAGCCTTTTGCGATGTGGTGTTCGTATTTTCCGAGCTTTCTTCGACTATTGTCTCGAGTTTAGGCGCATTCGAGGCCCTAAGGGGATAAATGAAGGTGGATGGTGCAACCTCTACTACCCAAATTTGCTTTCTCATGATGATTAGATCTTGTTAATGAGCTTCTAAGTTCTAACCTTTTTCTTTTCTTTTGAAGGGAATTTTTGTTCTTTCTTTTAGAGAGTGTTTGGTGTGTGATGAGAAAACTAATGCTTCAAAACTAAAGGGCTATATATAGAAGTTGAGCAAAGAAAAAAAGAATAATAAGAAAAAGAAAAGAAAAAAGAAAACTATTGGTGGGAATTGAAAGGTGGAGAGCAAATGTTTTTTTTTTTTTTTTTTTTTAATAGGAAATTAGTTTTTTTGCCCCCCACACGTTTTGCCGCGAAATTAGGCTGCAAGTTAGTGAAACGTGTGGAGGTTAATTAATTATCTACTTATTCAACTCAAGATCGAAGACCAAGCAAAGGACTCGGCTATGGCGGCCTGCGCCAAAAAAATATGGACATACCATTTATTCACTATTTTTTTTGTGTGAAATGGCTACATGTGTTATGCTTTAATTTTACACAAATTCTTATGTGCTAAGTTAGTTAAATGAAATGATCCGCTCGTGAGCTCGTTGAAAGTTCATTTAGTTAACGAGTCGTACTCAACTCGACTCGTTAAGACTCGATATCAAGTCGAGCTCAAGCTCGATTATTAATTAATGAGTAGAGCTTGAGTTCTAGTACCATAACTCTGAGCTTGAACTCGAACTAGGTTTGACTTATTCACACCCCTAAAGGCAACCTAACCGTTAGACAGGTCGGCCTACCATACATTTGAAAAAATAATACGTACTTTTATAAATATTATAAAATGTCATACTTTTAGTTTGAATGTATGTACATATAATGAAAAAAATCATACAAGTTATTATATGAAGTATGAGGGCAAATTCGAACGTACATTTGAAATAATAACGAGAAAGGTTGGACGTCGAAAAACTATAAATGTGGCCCGAAATAGAAATATACCACAACTTTAACAAATACAAAAAAATTTACCCACACAGAGTTTAAAATTATAGTACTTCAAAATAAAACAAGAGACCTTGTTTTCGATCATATTATCAGGCAGCTTTCGCCTTTTTGCGAACAACACCTGGGCGATTGCTCCTGACACTGCCCTTTCTAAATTTTTCGGATTCAACACTCTCTTTCAATCGTTCCAAAACTGAGAAACACAAAAGATACAAATGTACCAGCAAAAATAACATTAAGGTTTAGTGCAATCTGTTAACCATATTTGTGTCAAAAAGATATGAAGTACATTAACTCATGTTAAGGCAATCGACAAAATATTTTCAAAAATAATGACGATGATAATGGATTTTACGGTTTTTACCTGTTTTGTACATGGACTGAAACGTCTCTACTGACTCAGATGGAACAGAAAAAACGGGACAAGAATCATTGTCAGCCTTTCGTAACAGCCTGTTGAATCGTGCAACCTAAAACCGACATGTGTTCAGACAAATTCCAAGAGGCAAAAACCAAGAAGAGACGATTTTTTCTAGAAAGTTCTAAAAGTCTATGGCAATTTAAATCCTTGTATTATTAATTTAGAGTACCTCATCCTTGTGCAAAAGCGTGAAGCAACACCCGGTTTGCCCAGCCCTCGCAGTTCGGCCGGCTCGGTGAATGTAGGTCTTTATATACGAGGGCATATCATAATTTATCACATTTTTCACACCTTCAACATCCATTCCTCGAGTCATTGCATCAGATGAAATCAGTACTTGCACTTCTCCTGACCTGAATGCCCTCAACGTCTTGCTGTTTGAGAGAGAGAGAGAGAGAGATGTTACAGCAAGACAGATAAGATTCACTAATTTAGTTATTAGTGAAAAATGCATTTTTAGTGTTGTTGGTTTAACGTCATAGCAATTTTAGTCCCAAGATTCCACCTTTTCACCTTTTGTTCCTATGATTTAATACTCTGCTGCAATTTCAGTCATTTTGAGGATTGAAATTGCAACAAAATTTTAAATTACAGTACTGAAATTGCAACAAGATTTTGAATTACATGACTTAAATTAATAATTGACTATTTAGGAATTTGTTGCAATTTCAAAAGGACTGAAATTGCAGCAAAATAATAAATCACATACCAAAAAGCGAAATGTTGGAATTTGGGACTAAAATTGCTATGGCGTTAAACCAACACGACTAAAAATGCAATTTTGCGAGACTAAAAATGCAATTTTGCCTTTAATATCCAATGAGAGAGAGATAGAGGGAGAGAGAGAAGGCATATCCATATCACCTTCTTATGGACTGACGCTGCAGACGAGAGTACTCCTTAATCTTAATTTGAAGGTCACCAAAGAAATTTAACAAGGTGCAAAGTCTGTGAGTCGACTCTACAGATGAAGTAAAAACAATGCTTTTCTCGCCTTGCAAAGTTCCCAACAATGCCAGTAGATAAAGTGGTTTAAGCTTTGACGAGCACAACTGCATATACATCCAGGTTTTTTTTAGAATAAAAGATTTCGCAGAATATCTGTCCCTTTTTCTTCTAAAAAAAAAGAACTTTTTTATTTTACCACTTTATAAGATTTCAGTTGTTCGGGAAGCTGGTAGCGCTTTCGTCCAGTAGTCAATAACAATGGATGATGAAGATGAAGCTGTGCAATCTTACTCGGATCTTGAGTTAGTGTAGCTGATAAAACCATCTTCGTGAGTCTCGGATGAGCCCTTCCCTTAAACCCCCTCTCGACCCCACTGGAAAAATATCCAAAAGTTTCGCAAATCGATAATAAATAAATATATAGCTGATTAACTTGAACGAAAGCAAAACAAAATAGAAAATGAGCAACACTGACAAATTTCTGATGGTTTTGAGTGAGCCGAATGTAGGAAGAATATCTTCATCCGAAGATGGAACTTGATTTTGATTTCGAGAATAAGCCAAGTGAAGAACAGTAGGCAGCCATGATTGGTAGGCTTCTCTTAGTAACCGATCTGTTTCATCGACCACCTAATATAGTATTTAACTAATCAGACTTTTTAGACATGTAATGCAAAGAGGAACAGTAAATCTGTGTTTGGTAAGCATATAAGCTAGCTTATAGCTTATTTGGTTAGGTTATAAGCTTCCTATATTCAAATAAGCTTCGGTTGGTAAGGACGATTTTTTTTAAAAAAATTCGAGCTTATCTCATAAGCTTCTTCCTTGGGTAGCTTTTCAAATAAGCCCATTGAAATTTTTTATTTCAACTAGCTTATGATCAGATAATTTTTCCAAACACTTTTATCATATCAGCTAGTTTTTCAACCGTAAGTCATAAGCTATCAGCTATAAGCTCGAAAATTATTTAAAAGTTACAAGGTAGCTTATCAGCTAATTTTACCAAACACTTTTATCATATAAGCTAGTTTTTCAACCGTAAGTCATAAGCAATCAGCTATAAGTTCAAAATTCGCTTAAAAGCTACAAGCTAGCTTATCAGCTAGGTTTACCAAACATAGCCGAAGTTTGTAAATCCCATAAGAATTTTATGAAGAATATAAACTAAAGTACAGCTACACAAGTGAGAATGAAAAGAATTTTGTTGCTTACAAGGTAACAAAGATGCTCGAGCGTGAAACCATCAGTGTTATTGATATGGTCCATTAGCCTTCCTGGTGTAGCTACGAGTATATCCACTGAAGTTCTTGGCTCCCGAACGAAATCTTCAGGTTCATCACAAATGCTAGTTCCCATATTGGGCTTCTCGATGAGAGATGAGATCTCATCAGCAATGGAAGATTGGCCCACTGCCAAGCCCACAGACAAGCCCACTGCAGAGCCCAAAGCAGCAAACACTTCCTTAACCTGAAAAGTGGGGAGGATAAGAAAATAAAAATGACAATGAAATAGTTACACAAAATTGCACTTCTGAGCTTTCTTGTATTATGAGTTCAGAATATATGTTCAGCCGAACTTACAGTAATTCATTAATTCAAGGTATATATACATATGTTCTTCCAGCCAAACCAATGAACATAAGAGGTTGGCATTAAATCTAATGGTGATAAACTAATAATACCCATTTGAATAGTCATGTCAAAAGTTCAGCCAAAACATAGTGATTATAATGTAAATTTCAAACGAGACAGTAAAATGCCTTGAGACAGTCTATTAATCCCTCGATGTTAATGCTCAACATTAACAAAATGGCGCTCGAATTTTCTCGTATTACAAGTTCAGAATCTATATTCAGACAAACTTACGGCATTCATGAATTCATGGTATATATACATATGTTCTTCCAGCCAAACCAATGAACATAAGAGGTCACCATTAAAACTAATGGTGATAAACTGATAATACCCATTTTGAATAGGAATGTCAAAAGTTCAGCCAAAACATAGTGACTATAATGTAAACCTTCAAACTTTGAGACAGTAAAAAATGTAACCTGCACGGCCAAGTCACGAGTGGGCAACACGACCAGAGCTCGAAGGCATTTTACTGTTCGAGAAGATAGCGTCTGCACAATCGGCAAAGCATAAGCAAGAGTTTTACCACTCCCTGTGGGAGAATTTATGCAGAGGTCTCGATTAAAAGAACCAGGCCCAATTGTTTCTTGCCAAACTGCTACTTGCACAGGAAAGAGTGACGTGATTCCCATACTATGCAAAGCCTTCTCTAATCTACGAAAAGATATAAATATCAGAACAAAAACATCTCAAGCCTTTGAGCTTGAAATTGAATACCTCGATTGTAACAACACATAGCTAACATAGCAGGCCCATCAACAAACAGAAATTAAAATTAAAGAAAAACGAAAAGAAAGTACAACCATGGAAGCTTCCTACACCAGCTCAAACTTCAAAATCAGGAAAAAAAAAA